TGTCTTCTCCATTCAGAGGGCCCCCTGCCTGTCTTTGCCCAGGGCCCCACATTTCCTAAATGTGCCCCTGCTCCAGACAGAAGCATCCTCATGGTTCTCTTCTTCTTCTTCTTCTTCTTCTTCTTCTTCTTCTTCTTCTTCCACAGCTTCACTGGAAGCGCTTGCTGGACCGGATTTTCCATGACAACTTTTCAGAGGATGAAGAGATCGTGGTTCTGGCCACCGATTACATACAGAAAGTCTCTGACATCATCAAGAACACTTCGAAGAGGTGAGAACCGAGCAGCTCGGGTTGGGGAGCAGAGGGAGGAAGAGGAGGAGGAGCCATTTTTAGATTGTTTGTCTTTGATCTGGGTCTCTGGTTTTCGTAGAACTCAGAGTCCCAGTTAGCGGCGGTTGGGTTCAGGTGCTGCTGGGCCTAATCTGAGGCGCTGCTTGTTTGGAAGGAGTCACTGTTGGATGAACTTCCAGCTCTACAGCAGCTGATTGTTATCGATCACCACCTACACCTCCCTCCCTCCTCCAGCAGGAGCACATGGCCGTACGCTCGCTCTCACCTCCTCCTCCTGACAGACTTCAGGGGAAGCCTTGGAGAGTTTCTGCACGTCAGGCTGTGTGTTTCCGCCACTGACAGCTCGCCAATAGTCCCTCTGCTCTACAGGCGAGCGCCGCGGCTCACAGCCGCCGTGCATGGCTGACCGGCTGCATGACTGGCGGCTGGATTTCTGGCCTGTCATTTCTGTCTGAGGCGGGAAACATGTCGGTGTAACAACATAACCACTTCAGACATTTTGGTAATTTCATGAATGGTCGGTTCATGCAGCTACGCCTCCTTCCTTCACTTCCCATCACTGATTCAACCTCACTATAGTTTATTCAGTCGTTCTCTGATTGATTCTGTGTAAATCTGAGACTCAGTAAATTATCGATTGCTTATTTCCTTTATATGGAATCAATTAAGCAGAAATATTTCCCCTTAAAGCCACAGTATGAAATTAGAATTTGACAAAAGTCAGATTAAGGTTGGAGATGACGGATGGACTAATCATCTGATGCAGTAATGGATTAGCTAGGAATGACCCTCCCCCCCGTGGCGTTTTTATTCAGCCATTGTTTATTTGCTTTCTTTTCTCACCCAGAGGTCAGTTGCTTTTCCTGTGATGCAACTTTTCGGTCGGAACTACGAGGGCCGTTCGACCGTTAGACTTTAGCATAAAAAGGATGAACAACATATAATAAGTGAAATTGTGCTAAATATTTATTTTTCTGTCATAAATGTTGAACGATGAGGAAGTTAGAGGAAATTTCCTTTTTAATAGTTTTCTCTGATAGCTAATGAAGACGCTGACCCATAAAACCTGAAATTAATTGAAAAGAGGAAAATGTCTCCTAAATCTTCCTGCTGAGTCGGCGGCGGCGGCGGCGGCCTCCGATCATTTAGCGGTTCTTCTCCTGCACAGAGGACCATAACTCAAACGTCTGCAGCGATCATTCATCTGCACTTTGATACCTGGAATGAGCAGATCTGCTTCAAAAAGGTCAGTCTGGTTATCATTGCATCCTGAAATGTCAGCTGACTAATCTGCATCATCTTTGCAGATAACATCTTTCCAGGAACGAAAGGTTCTTCATTCCTGGAAAGTTTCCAAATGATATTTCCAACGAGGTCATCGACGTTTTTTAGGATAAAGACCCTGAAATAATCCCACAGTTATTCAAAAAAAGAACTTGTTGTTTTTAGATTAGAACAAATAAATAATGCTAATATAGTTTTATATTTTGTCAACAAATAAGGATGCTTGATTAATTGGTTTGTATGTTTTTTAATCAGGTTATTTTCAGATGATGTTAAACCACCTAATGAAAAAAGAGCCTATTGATTTTAGAACAGTTAATATAAATGATGTCATGGTTTGCAGCAGTGAGGTAAAGTGTTTCTGCGTTGCTGTGGGCGACTGACGTGGAGGATGATGAAGGTTCCCCAGGCGTCTGGGCGTCAGGTGTGAAGTATTAAAGTAGAAATACTTAATTTCCTTACTGAAGTATAAATGTTGGCTATCTATACTTTATTGGAATAATTCTTTACTTTCTACTCGTTAGTTTAGTTTCATTTAAGCTCATTTTCATTCTGGCCTGTTAGTATTTAAAAAACATAAAAACCATCAAAATAATTAGTTTCATTCAGGCAATTAGTTTCTTTGTGGTTGGACTCGGTGCTGCCCCAACCTGTTGCTCACCACATACCAAAATAAATAAATAGTTTTTCAAGACGATGCAAAGTTAAATTTGACACTTTTACCATTAGTTATAAAACAAAAAAATGAAGTCTTACGTTCAGACCACAATCGCTGGAAGCATCAAAGAGGCTTCAGCTGCTTTATCTTTGCTATATTAGCTGTGATCAGCGGGTAGAAAGTAGTTTTTCATCTATGTTGAAGTGAGAAAGTCCTCCTGAAAACATGGTCTGTGCAGTCAGTTCATCCAGATTACCATCCTGCCTTCAAAGATTATTTCTCTGTGGGAGCCGCTCAGACCCCCACATACCGGCGCTGCGCTGTCACTGGGAATCCCCAGCAGCAGCTGCCTCAGGCCCGCTCGCCTCTCCAGGGTTTTCCCCTCCTGTTGGTGGCGGCTGGAAGTAGATGTTAGTGTTTTTCAGGTCTGTGCTACAAACTGCAGGCAGCAGGATAATAAAAGCCAACATATTCTGCCGGCAGGTTTCTACGTTTGAAGTTAATTTAGGCGTTAATAAACTGTTTCAGAGGAGTGATCATAGCGCTCTGCATCAGCAGTGCTGCGTCTGACTCCCTGCCAGCTCCCAGATCAGCTTCTCTCATTGGTTGATGTCCAGCAGCTAAAGTTACATGTTTCCAACTCCAGCAGCTGCTGCTTCTGAAGCTCCTCAGATGATCAGAAGCTCGTGACGCGCTGCTCCTGCTGCTCAAAACACGCTGCAGGACCTTTTGCTGCGCCTTGATGCTCGTCAACCATTGACTTTGCATGTAAACTAGCTGCTTCTGCTGCCTCTAGCGCGTGCGCTCTGAATGTAGCCTAAGTAAGGCTACGGTTACACTGCAGGCCTTGATGCTCAATTCCAATTTTTTGGGTGAAATCTGATTTTTTTGCATTTCCGTTCACATTTACAAATATATGCGACTTGTAAGTGATCTTATGTGTGAACTGCAGTCATACAACGCAATTGTCCCACATGCGTCGTAGAGGACGCAATGACATCACAGGCCAGCATGCTCTGTGTTTACGGAAGTAAACATGGAGTGCCGAAGCGCATCTAGCGATTTTTCCCAACCATAAAAACTAAAACTTATCAAGGTGGTTAAACATAAATACTGCTCTCCGCATCATCTTCCGCCATGGTTGTTGTTTTTCCTGCCGCTTATTCATAGCAAGACCCAGAATAGTGACCTTTGTCGGGAATCAATGGCGTTCAGGTCGGATGAATGCGATCTGGCCTTCAGACGCAGGTCGCATTGGAAAAGATCGGATCAGTGTTGTTCAGACAGCCATGAAAAGATCGGATACAGGTCGGATATGGGCAAATAAATCGGATTTGAGTCACTTCAGGCTGCGGTGTGAACGTAGCCTAAGATATCATCCAGAATTATAGAAAAATGTTCCTTTAACAGAGTAAAGCAGTAAAGCTACTGTCCTCAACATTTTTCCTGCATTATTTTTACTTTTAAACTTTAAGTAATTTTATAAATGGTACTTTTACACTTTAACTGGAGTAAAAAGCTGAAACTGATCCTTCTATAAAACTGTTTTTAAACAGCAGGATTTATAATGCAGTAATAAACATGAATTCTTTGGTCTCCTCTGATCTTTAGGTCTAATTCTGTTTCATAAGTCGGCTGGATGGTAAATCTGTTTAGTCTGAGCCTAAATGAAGGAACGTTTGTCAACTAACTGATGCTTTATGACAGGAAATAAGTAAAAATATGAATACTACTAAATCTGAACTGTTGAATTGGAGTTCAGGATAATAACCAGTAATCTGCTCAGCTAAGCCGTTTACTAACTGTGCTGTTTGCTGCCAAACTCATGCAGAGGGAACAGTTGATGACTTTGGTTTTCTGGTGTCTTTGTGCAAAGATGGTTCCGCTCTTCAGAGAACGAATCTGGGCGCTAGCTGTCCTTGATTATTTAACCTCTAAGTTAATTGGATCTTTTAGCTCTCCATCTCCCAAAGCCACTCAGCGCTGGTTCTCTGGTTATTTAGGGAACCTTTTTGTTTTTAGCTGCAAAGTGAGACAAAAGTGCTGAAAAACCTTGGTTCCTTAGGAAACCAAATGCTTGCAATTCATGGACTTCTTATTTTAATTAATTAATTGATTGATTGGCTGTTGTTAAGACACAAGTCTGTCAGGGGTGAGTAGAACCATTAAAACCAGATGTAAAAGCTTTAGAGTGATTTTATTTATTTTTTTTGTTCTAATTTGAAATAAAATGGTTGAACAATCAAAATACAAAACAAGAGTTTCAGAAAACAAAGTAGAGGATAAAAGGGTAAGGTATTTTCCACACTAGCTGGAGCTTAGATCTCAGGACAGTGTTGTGGGGAAAAAAGTATTAAAGTATTTACCTCAGTTAAATAAATGTAGATGGAGGGATTTCTCTAAGTCGGATCTTTATTTTAATCTTTGCAAAGAGAGAACAGTTCATCATACGGTAATCAGCCCTGTTCTGATCTGAGCAGCGTTCGTTCCTCCTTACTGACAATAATGGAAAACAGTCAGAGTCAAAAGTAATTACAGACACTTTGGTTAAACAGTAACATGAATAAACCTGAGAAAGAATCTGGTTTGTTATGGAAGAAGCTATGACTGGTCTACAAACACCGTCACTCAGGCATCTTAAATGAAAAAAGAAATGCTTCTAGAAAACTTCACCTCCATGCCATGATCGGTTTAACGAATCAGACCCACATGCAGAGAAAACACTCAACAGGTTTATTGAGGGGGTAAGACAGGATTGAATCTGGAACTCAGTGAGCTGGTAACCCGGAACTCGAAGTGAGAAGGGAAGTTCAGGGGTCAGTTCAGGTACCGTGGGAATCTTGGAAGCACTTCGATTTTGCAGGAATGGGACTCAAGTTAGAGGGGGGCCTTGTTAGTCCTTGAATCCAGTCTGTGTGGTAAATCCAGAGAATAGTGCACACGTTGGAGGGCGTTGGACCCGGAGGAGTATGGAGCGGACTGTCACTCAGATTTCCGATGGGTACTTGAACGGAACATGTGGAGGTTTTTCCCTGCT